AGGGAAACTATTATGAATTAATGAAATAGTTCCCAGAGCTTCAAGTGATTTATTCGCATTAATTACACACGAATACGATTTGCTTTTTGATACGTTTGAATTTCTAGAATGGTGTTGTAACACAGAAGTGGAGGTGTCGGCAAAATTCGTAATTCGTAATAAAATACTCGCCAACAGGGGTCAGACGTCAATTATTTTCCTTCCGCACTCTATACATCGTCATGGCAACCCAGGATAAGTAATATCTGTCATTGGGAGTGTCCCTGCCCCTTGTCACATGTCCGACAGCAAAGTATCAGCTAGGATCTATCAACTAGACCTTTCAGTAACAACTGTAAACAATGGACACCGGAAGTGCTGAGCCGAAACGCACGCTCACACGCATGCGCACGCACACACACGTCGGCTCTCAACTATACGTCCAGGGCCCCGTTCCTCAAAGCGATCGTAGAGCTACGACAGTCTTAAGTCTATGTTAAAGTATTGAGGAACGGGACTTATCGATCGTCGTAGCGTCTACGATCGCTTTGACAGACAACGGGGCACAATATTCCAGTTCCTCCCGGTCAAAGTGAACTGCAGATTGGGTGTTGTATACCCTAACGATTCTCATCACGACACAATGTCTAAATCTTGCCACAATGTCACGGTAAACCAAACAATTTGGCTTTATGACTGAACACATCATTGAACAGGGCACAATATTCTCCTATTTCTCCCATCTTTAACGGGTCAAAGTTGAACTTGCAGTAGTTGGGGCTCCTTTTACGAAGCAAAGCACACAAGTCTTTACTAAGGTTAAACCTTAACTCCCGTTCTTTAACATTGCACTAAGGTTACCTTAGTGACATACGATCACCTTAGTGCTTTGTGATTTCCAGGAGGTACTGGTTAACAAACGACACAGCTGACGATTACATTATATCCGCAGCTGTAATTGCTAAAGGAGATTTACAACGCCACTAAAAAGTGTTTGTTTATCAACTGTCGACAAGTGTACGCCATTCAAAACATTTACAACAGCAACCCGGTCACGTGACTCATGAAGGGCGTCTCCTGTCATTTCCACTCCATTGACAGTTGGCCGTACGGATGTTAGGTAAGATGTTATATGTTCCTTAACTCGGTTTGTGTATCACATACTCCTTGTTTAATGGTAAATACTGCATACTTGTATCACCCACACAGAGGGGTGATATAACATTCCTTGACGAGTGGTATAATAATCTGTGCAATACCATATATATATCATAACTGAAAATACCCCCTTGTTTAGAATATCAACAACTGTTTTCTTATAAAGTCAGAAAATCAGAAAGTGTAAGACAAACATGTTATGTAGTAATATTCGTGATGCTACATTTTATTTCTGTCTCTTGGCAACGGGCAGCACATTTAAGATGTTAATATTCGTGATGCTACATTTTATTTCTGTCTCTTGGCTACAGGGCAGCACATTTAAGATGTTAATATTCGTGACGCTACATTTCATTTCTGTCTCTTGGCTACAGGCAGCACATTTAAGATGTTAATATTCGTGATGCTACATTTTATTTCTGTCTCTTGGCTACGGGCAGCACATTTAAGATGTTAATATTCGTGATGCTACATTTTATTTCTGTCTCTTGGCAACGGGCAGCACATTTAAGATGTTAATATTCGTGATGCTACATTTTATGTTAATATTCGTGATGCTACATTTTATTTCTGTCTCTTGGCAACGGGCAGCACATTTAAGATGTTAATATTCGTGATGCTACATTTTATTTCTGTCTCTTGGCAACGGGCAGCACATTTAAGATGTTAATATTCGTGATGCTACATTTTATTTCTGTCTCTTTTTATTTCTGCAACGGGCAGCACATTTAAGATGTTAATATTCGTGATGCTACATTTTATTTCTGTCTCTTGGCTACGGGCAGCACATTTAAGATGTTAATATTCGTGATGCTACATTTCATTTCTGTCTCTTGGCTACGGGCAGCACATTTAAGATGTTAATATTCGTGATGCTACATTTTATTTCTGTCTCTTGGCAACGGGCAGCACATTTAAGGCTACGGGCAGCACATTTAAGATGTTAATATTCGTGATGCTACATTTTATTTCTGTCTCTTGTGATGGCTACAGCACATTTGTTATTTCTGATGCTACATTTTATTTCTGTCTCTTTGGCAACGGGCAGCACACATTTAAGATGTTAATGCTACATTTTATTTTCGTCTCTTGGCAACGCAGCACATTTTATGTTAATGTCTCTTGGCATGCTACATTTCCGTTTCTCATTTCTGGGCAGCACATTTAAGATGTTAATATTCGTGATGCTACATTTTATTTCTGTCTCTTGGCTACGGGCAGCACATTTAAGATGTTAATATTCGTGATGCTACATTTTATTTCTGTCTCTTGGCAACGGGCAGCACATTAAAGATGTTAATATTCGTGATGCTACATTTTATTTCTTTTCTTGGCTCGGGCAGCACATGGCAGATGTTAATATTCGTGGGCAGCACATTAAAGATGTTAATATTCGTGACGCTACATTTTATTTCTGTCTCTTGGCTACAAGCAGCACTTTTAAGATGTTAATATTCGTGATGCTACATTTTATTTCTGTCTCTTGGCTACGGGCAGCACATTTAAAATGTTAATATTCGAAGAGTGCGAACAGTTAAAATGATTTTACAGGTCTTGGTCACTAATCAAAATGGCTACCTTCTGAGCGTCACAGAGTTCTATAATATCACAATAGGCCGACAGACAACGGTCTGCTAATAATGTAGTGTATTAAATATGAATATGACGTCATGTGTGTCGTACCTAAATGAGATGTTAATACAAAACCCTGTAATATTGATTTATCCTTGAATGTATGGCCGTGTTGTTATTATTCGTCAACCATGTATATCTCCAATACTTTCAGTAATAATGCTTTTATATATAGCATTTGATCGTACAGAATAAATAACTAAACAGAGGAAGGGGTATTTATAGATGTGACTACAAACATACGTTAACAATACGGCGATTCTCGGAATTGCAGGCTTCCCGTGAACCTGTTTAGCTGTACAGACATTACCACATACACAGTGTCAGACACAACGTTCACTGTTGTTATGTTGATCTTCTGCATATAACACTGAGAAATTGATTGAATACCTGAAGTTTTTTATCAAGACATTTATCACCAGGATAGTGTAGAATACAGGCAAGCACGCTACTGGTGGTAACAGAGTTGAATACCGTCACAGCATTGGACATAATATCAACTACTTGTTGTCATTGATGTTTTAGTTTCAATGTCCAGATCGTATCATGTACCTTTCATCTGCTTTTCTCTGGTGTAACTGTTCCTGACTGTTTCAATCAATTTCATAATTGATTTAGCTCTCCTTGTTCTTCTTCCCTTTAAAACGTTCATGTATTTCTGAGAGTTCCGGGTTTATTGTTTTGTGGTTTATTGTACGTGTACTTTATCGGTTCATGCTCATCAGTGTTTGAAATAGTTACCATTTGTTTCACTGCGTTATTATTATTCCAGATAATGCTTGTTAGAACCTGCTCGTTTGGTTCGCCTGATGTTTTAGTCAGTTTGCGGTAATCGTTCATCAAAACCGTAAGCTGTGCCTAAAACTGATATCTTCCTAGTTACGCCCCTGATAATGCTAATGAGTGCATACATAATGCGCTAAACTCCATTCCCAACGTGGATGCTCAGAGCACAACATCATTACCCCGGATAATACGAACTGCCAGTGAGGCTCTAGAAGGTTTAAAGTCACCCATTTTCTGCTGGGTGAACAGAGGCAGCTGCCTTAGGACCACATAGGTGCTTCGTTGTGGGGGAGGGTTGAAGTCCTTGAAAGTCTCACGAGTTACCCATCCAAGGACTCTCCACGCTCAACGTTGCTTAACTTCATTTGTGACCAGCGCTCTGTGCACAGGACCACACAACACCGGATCCCATAATGTCACAAATACGCAACACAATCAAATTATTTATTTCTAGAAGGTACGCACTCTATAAAATGCGTTCTTGATATTGAGTAGAGTACAGTCAGTGCTCTGGGTGCCCCAAAGTATTATGAGGTTGTGTGAGTATCAAACCTTGTGTTGCCTTATTTCCTGCGAGGGGGTGCAATAGTATATGAATGTCCATGTAAGTAGTTAGGAACCATTTTGCAGACCACTATGACGTCACGGGCTACCATGACACTACGATCAAGTGAAGATCCTGGTTAGAATTGATCGGTTGTTAGAAGCGACTCACGGGATCGGGTGGTGAGGCTCACTTATTGATCCATGTCATGGATTGATCCATGTCATTGTACCCCATTTGTGTAGATCGATGCTCTTGTTGTTGATCATTGGATTGTCTGGTCCAGACTCGATCATTTACAAACCGCTGCCATATAGCTGGAATATTGCTGAGTGCGGCGTTAGACAACAAACAAAACTGTAGCGTTAGAATGGCTGACTGAGCAACCCTGTTGTGCATATACATGTATAGTAATGAATGCTCATGATGTTGATCACTGGTTTGTCTGGTCTGACATGCTAAAAGACCTTCCCTATATACAGAGAGTGAGTGAGTGAGTTCAAATTTATCGTCACATCGGCCTAAATATAGAGGATATCATATGAGTGTCCATGTCATACTATCTTTACGACACGAGTGCTTAAAAATAAACCCAAATCTACTTTCAAACATAGGCTGGCTATCCGCCGTCGCATCATGAAGCACGCAACGTCATAGAAGAAACGTGACGTCATACCATTGTTCATGACCTCACGTCACCATGACAAAGTGATATTTTTCCCTAGGGCATTGTATGAAAAAATATGAACACCGATATTTTCGCCCTCGTGGGTAATAAACACTAAAACGGCTCTATATGGCTGATGATAAATATAATTTCGCCCTGATAACCAATACATCACGCCTCGGAGAGTGAAACTGTTACCGACTCGCATTAATAAAGAAGTCACTGTACATCGAAGAGGTTTGACAAGGTATATACTTTATTGTGTTGTAGTAATAACGAATTGACATAGCAAAACGTGACGATGTCATTCGTGCAACATATTATCAAATGAAAGGCATTTAGGGCTTTAACCTATACATACAAAAACGTTATCACATGATAAGACGACTGTCAGCTAAGACTCACTGGTATAAGATTACTGCGGATACTTTGCCAACATCGGGTGGAGAAATTACCAAGGAAGAACAGCAATAAGAAACAAACACAGTTAATAGGTCAGTTTGTAATGGAGGGCAACATCGATTTCCCAAAGGTGTTACTGATCACGTGATTCTTAATTTAAATTCATTGCTGCGGGGGCAGCGGTTCAAGTGTTTGCTCGTCACGCAGAAGACCTGGGTTCGATTCTCTATATGGGTACAATGTGTGAAGCCCTTTTTCTGGTGTTCCCGCCGTGATATTGCTAGATAATTGCTAAAAGCGGCGTAAAACTAAACTCACTCATTCATCACTGCAGCAGATCCGTAAAGCCAGGATCCGGTATTTTTAACTTCACATGGGTGTTGCATATTTGACAGTTTAGTGTTCCAACTGTTGGTGTTCTGTGACTGTAAACCATCCGCAACAGACTAGCTAATTTGACTGGGTCTGCACGTGCAGACAGTGTGGATTTGCCACCATGATGTCCACTTGCTCTAAAATTGTTTGTTTCACGACGAGCCTGCTCGAAGGTGTGCAATGTCTCTGATCGCGTCTCTGATTTAAGCCACTGCACCAACAGATGACGGTTCCCGGTGAGATGTTGTGTGTGGAATGAAGGTGAAGGTCACAGTGATCCCGGCGCCGTCAGCTAGTACAACACCTTTCTTTGTTCTCTCCATCGGTTTCTTCAATGTGGATAGATCTCTCAAATCCCGCGTCCGAATTCTGAAACAGTGAGTGAGTGAGACTATCAATGTATTTTTAAATAAACAGGAGTAACTAAATTCTGACGTAAACATTCACCTTGGTAGTTTTCAAATATTATGCTTGATCAGCCAGTGGTTACTCTGTAACTGACAGTGTAACGATAGATGGGAAGATTTAAAGTGAGTCAGCTTAGTTTTACGCCGCCCACAGCATTATTACTGCTATATCACGGCGGGGGGACACCAGAAATGGGCTTCACACATTGCACCTATGTGGGGTATTGATCCCGGGTCTTCAACGTGACGAGTGAACGCTTTAACCACTAGGCTACCCAAACGCCCCGAATTCTGGCTAACCAGCATAGAACGATTCACTTGTCCCACGTCAGACTTACCGGTGGTATATTGACTAACTACTATTGACTAGAACGATTCACTTGTCCCACGTCAGACTTTACCGGTGGTATATTGATTAACTACTACAGAACGATTCACTTGTCCCACGTCAGACTTACCGGTGGTATATTGACTAACTACTACAGAACGATTCACTTGTCCCACGTCAGACTTACCGATGGTATATTGACTAACTACTACAGAACGATTCACTTGTCCCACGTCAGACTTACCGGTGGTATATTGACTAACTACTACAGAACGATTCACTTGTCCCACGACAGACTTACCGGTGGTATATTGACTAACTACTACAGAACGATTCACTTGTCCCACGTCAGACTTACCGGTGGTATATTGACTAACTACTACAGAACGATTCACTTGTCCCACGTCAGACTTACCGTGGTATATTGACTAACTACTACAGAACGATTCACTTTGTCCCACGTCAGACTAACTACTACAGGTGGTATATTGGCTAACTACTACAGAACGATTCACCTGTCCCACGTCAGACTTACCGGTGGTATATTGACTAACTACTACTCACTCACGATTCACTTGTCCCACGTCAGACATACCGGTGGTATATTGACTAACTACTACAGAACGATTCACCCACGTCAGACTCCCTACGTCAGACTTACCAGTGGGTATATTGACTAACTACTACGGAACGATTCACTTGTCCCACGTCAGACACGTACCGGTGGTATATTGGCTAACTAGTACAGAACGATTCACTTGTCCCACGTCAGACTTACCGGTGGTATATTGATCTAACTACTACAGAACGATTCACTTGTCCCACGTCAGACTTACCGATGGTATATTGACTAACTACTACAGAACGATTCACTTGTCAGACACGTCAGACTTACCGGTGGTATATTGACTAACTACTACAGAACGATTCACTTGTCCCACAGACATACCGGTGGTATATTGACTAACTACTACAGAACGATTCACTTGTCCCACGTCAGACTTACCGGTGGTATATTGACTAACTACTACGGAACGATTCACTTGTCCCACGTCAGACTTACCGGTGGTATATTGACTAACCAGTACAGAACGATTCACTTGTCCCACGTCAGACTTACTTGGTCAGACTTTATTGGCTAATACTACAGGTATATTTCACTTGTCCCACGTCAGACTTACCGGTGGTACTTGACTACTACAGAACGATTCACTTGTCCCACGTCAGACTTACCGATGGTATATTGGCTAACTACTACAGAACTCACTCACTCACTCACTCCACTTACCGGTTGTATATTCCGCCAGGTCTCACGGATGAAGGTCTCAAATGCCTCCTTGACATTGTCACCTGTCTTTGCGCTGACGTCATAATATGGATATATTGGCTAACTACTACAGTACTGTAAAATCTCCTTTCTGGAAACACAAGACGAAGATACGTACTGAAATATATTGGGCTGTACACAGTCACAATTCCTACATTGACTTAAATGTCAGACAAGTCCGCTGCTCCCCAGTGCGAAATGTCCCACCACATATTGCCACTGTAAGAAATGACGTAACACGGATCATGTCTGTTGTGATGCAGATAATAATGTCTACAAAGGCATCTAATCTTAGGCAGTGTACCACCCTAATTGCTGACACCTCAACCGCAGGCAAACTAAAGCGCAAATAAGATTGTGCAACAGAGAGAAAAATTACCAGTCTTCCTGTTTGCGAGCGAAATGAGCAAAGGTTGACAACGTTCTTCCCTCGCTTCGGTTCGAAAAATATTTTTATGTCAAAATAGAATATCGCCACCATCCTCACAGCGTTGTGCTCTCAGATTTCCAACCTCATATTGAATTATTACTCACGTAAAATATATTTAATTCAACATTTTAAGCGCCACTCGTGGCATATCAAATCGTTCTTCCCCTCCGCCCAACCCTCTTCCTTTTGTATCATGCTAAATCTATAAATTTTCCTGAACCCCACAGTCGAGCTCCTGATCACCCCCAACTCGGTCAGTCGGTGCTAGGCAGTATAGCTCCACTCATTAGCTTCAACATTAGCATCTCTGCCTTAGAGTATATATTTGATGGTTACACTCTATCAGATGTATCTGCTGTGTTATGTGACATTGTGGCAGGAGAAAACACAAGTTACAAACACCTTCCGTTACATATATCAATGTTTTGTTAATGTAATAAATTAACAAAAGGTGTATGTATTTATGATACATATGATGTGGAGGAAATATGTTAAAAGGATGGTTAGGACTGGCTGAATGGAAGGAAGGAAGCCTGTTTTACACTAAATGGTCAGGGAAACATATATATACTTATCAGGGCAGTTTGGGTCTGTCAAGTCGGGTGTCTTCCTTCTTGTTTGGTCTGTCAAGCCTGTCCCATTTCTTCCCTGAACACTGTCTTCCTTTCTTGATACCCTTCCATCCCCTCACACTGACTCCTCCTGTCTTCCTGACCCCTCCCCTCTTCCTCCTGTCCTCTCCCTTCCCTGACCCTCCTCCCTCTTCCTCCCTGCCCTCCCTTCCTCTTCCCCTGACCCCTCCTCCTCCTCCTGTCCTCCCTTCCCCTGACCCTCCTTCCCCTTCCTCCTGTCCTCTCCTTCCCTCCTGGCCCCTCTCCCCCTTCCTCCTGTCCTCCTCTCTTCCTGGCCCTCCTCTTCCTCCTGTCCCCTCTCTTCCCTGACCCTAACCGCTTGTCCCCCTCCTCCCTGGCCACCTATCCTCACACTCTGGACCTCATTGCCTTCCTTTCTGTCCCAGCACTTCCACTGACCCTCTCCTACCCTGTTCGTTCTTCAGTCCCCTCCACCACTGACCTCCCTTTCTCCTGGACCCATCCTGTCCCCTCCTGAAATTTTTGTTTGCCTCGCCCTCTCACTGACTCCACCCTGTTCCTTCTGTCCCTCCCACTCTCATCACTGACCCACCCTCTTCCTGACCCCCCACGTGTATAGTTACCGCACGGGCTTGGCCTATGGGTATTTCCCTGTGGGCTGTGAGGTCTTGTTTGTTTCCGACCAGTATCACATGTGGCTGCAGGGTTCAATTTCCTGAAAGTAACGAAAACAGTTGCCAATATCCATCGCCAACATGCAGGAACCATCATGCAGACAAAACGTTACGCTTATTCTAGACGACACTGTAGTTAGTGATTTACCATCAATAAACACATACTTATTCTGGAGACGACACTGTAGTTAGTATTTACCATCAATAAACACACATGCTTATTCTAGACACCACACAGTTTGTATTTTCACCATCAATAAAAACGCAGCACTTATTCGAATGATGACTGTTTGGTGATTGCCATCAATAAACACATGCTTATTCTGGATGACACTGTGGTTGGTATTTACCATCAATAAACCGGCATGCTTATTCTAGATGACACTGTAATGGTTAGTATTTACCATCAATAAACACATGCTTATTCTAGATGACACTGTGGTTAGTATTTTCTACCATCAATAAACACATAATTATTCTAGATGACACTGTGGTTAGTATTTACCATCAATAAACACATGCTTATTCTAGATGACACTGTAGTTAGTATTTACCATCAATAAACACATACTTATTCTAGATGACACTGTAGTTAGGTATTTACCATCAATAAACACATACTTATTCTAGATGACACTGTAGTTAGTATTTACCATCAATAAACACATACTTATTCTAGATGACACTGTAGTTAGTGTTTACCATCAATAAACACATACTTATTCTAGACGACACTGTAGTTAGTATTTTACCATCAATAAAACACATACTTATTCTAGACGACACTGTAGTTTAGTATTTACCATCAATAAACACATACTTATTCTAGACGACACTGTGGTTAGTATTTACCATCAATAAACACATACTTATTCTAGACGACACTGTGGTTAGTATTTACCATCAATAAACACATGCTTATTCTAGAATGACACTGTAGTTAGTATTTTTACCATCAATAAACACATGCTTATTCTGGAACGACACTGTTGAGTTAGTATTTACCATCAATAAACACATACTTATTCTAGACGACACTGTAGTTAGTGATTTACCATCAATAAACACATACTTATTCTAGACGACACTGTAGTTAGTATTTACCATCAATAAACACATACTTATTCTAGATGACACTGTAGTTAGTATTTACCATCAATAAACACATACTTATTCTAGACGACACTGTGGTTAGTATTTACCATCAATAAACACATACTTATTCTAGATGACACTGTAGTTAGTATTTACCATCAATAAACACATGCTTATTCCTGATGACACTGTAGTTAGTATTTACCATCAATAAACACATACTTATTCTAGATGACACTGTCAGTTAGTATTTTACCATCAATAAACACATGCTTATTCACAGATGACACTGTGGTTAGTATTTACCATCAATAAACACATACTTATTCTAGATGACACTGTGGTTAGTTATTTACCATCAATAAACACATGCTTATTCTAGATGACACTGTGGTTAGTATTTACCATCAATAAACACATACTTATTCTAGAATGACACTGTAGTTAGTATTTGCACCATCAATAAACACATACTTATTCTAGATGACACTGTAGTTAATTAATTTACCATCAATAGACACATACTTATTCTACGATGACACTGTGGTTAGTGCGTTTACCATCAATAAACACATACTTATTCTAGATGACACTTACAGTTAGTATTTACCATCAATAAACACATACTTATTCTAGATGACACTGTAGTTAGTATTTACCATCAATGAAACACATACTTATTCCTGGACGACATGTAGTTAGTATTTACCATCAATAAACACATACTTATTCTAGATGACACTGTAGTTAGTGTTTACCATCAATAAACACATGCTTATTCACCATGACGACTGTAGTTGGTAGTTTACCGTAATAAACACATACTTATTCCTACATGACACTGTAGTTAGTATTGCCATCAATGAAACACATGCTTATTCTGGATGACCTGTGGTTAATTTACCATCAATAAGAAACACATGCTTATTCTAGATGACACTGTAGTTAGTATTTACCATCAATAAACACATACTTATTCTAGATGACACTGTAGTGGTATTGTTACCATCAATAAACACATACTTATTCTAGACGACACTGTAGTTAGTGTTTGCCATCATCCAATAAACACATACTTATTCTAGAAGTGACATATGTAGTTAGTATTTACCATCAATAAACACATGCTTATTCTAGATGATTGGACTGTGGTTGAGTATTTACCATCAATAAACACATGCTTTATTCTAGATGACACTGCAGTTGTAGTATTTACCATCAATAAGACACATGCTTATTCTAGATGACACCAGTAGTTATTTGCACCAAATCAATAAACACATGCTTATTCTAGACGACACTGTCGGTTAATTAGTATTTACCATCAATAAACACATACTTATTCTAGACGACACTGTAGTTAATTATTTACCATCAATAAACACATACTTATTCTAGATGACACTGTAGTTAGTATTTACCATCAATAAACACACATACTTATTCTAGATGACACTGTAGTTAGTATTTACCATCAATAAACACATACATTATTTACCATCATTCTAGATGATGACTGTAGGTTAGTATTTACCATCAATAAACACATACTTATTCTAGACTGACACTGTAGTTAGTATTTACCATCAATAAACACATACTTGGTATTCTAGATGACACTGTGGTTAGTTATTTACCAATCAATAAACACATGCTTATTCTAGGATGACACTGTAGTTAGTGATTTACCATCCAATAAACACATACTTATTCTAGATGACACCACTGTAGTTAGTATTTACCATCAATAAACACATACTTATTCTAGATGACACTGTAGTTAGTATTTACCATCAATAAACACATACTTATTCTGAGACTATGACTCACTAGTTAATTGTTACCATCAATAAACACATACTTATTCTAGATGACACTGTAGTTAGTATTTACCATCAATAAACACATATTCTAGATGTTACATGCAGTTAATTATTTACCATCAATAAACACATACTATTCCTGACCAGACACACTGTAGTTAGTATTTACCATCAATAAACACATACTTATTCTAGATGACACTGTTGCTAGTTAGTATTTACCATCAATAAAACACATACTTATTCTAGATGACACTGTAGTTAGTATTTACCATCAATAAACACATACTTATTCTAGATGACACTGTAGTTAGTATTTACCATCAATAAAACACATACTTATTCTAGACTGACACTGTAGTTAGTATTTACCATCAATAAACACATACTTATTCTGAGACGACACTGTAGTTGGTATTTACCATCAATAAACACAT